TTACTTAGAGATAACTCTGATGGAGTCAGACACATTCAGCGACGATTTGGTAGACACAAAGTCATTCGACTTAAATGAATTGACAATTGATGAAACTTACAAGAAAACATTTGTCTTCAAAGGGGTATGATAGAACTCAGCTGCTCAAATGGTAATCCCGAACGTCACTCGTGTAACATATAACGAGTCTAACTTTTGGTCGAGCCATCGAGGGTCGAGGGTCTTATGTCGAGGTCGAGGGTATTTAGTCGACGGTCCCTTTTTTGTTTGGTTGTTTGTTTGTTTGTTTTTTTTTGTATGAAGCAGTCAGGTTGATTTGTGTGAATTCTCAACCATTCGAAATGGCCGTAAAAGAAAAGAAAAGTCATACACACATTCTCTCTCTTACACACAAAAAGTAATTGGCAGTGAAATATAAATTTTTTATACAGTCTTTCTTAGCTCAAAAAGCGCGACAGGTTGACAGCTGATGTTGCTGGTCAAAGAACCGGTAAGGTTAAGGGTTCCAGGATCCCAGCGACACATCCCCACCCAGAAAATCCTAAAGAAACCCCATCCCACCCCCCTCGGGGGAAAAAAATTCTGTCGATACAAGGTAGCGTAATTGCCTATCAGAACTGTTTGTGGGAATTACTCTTTCTTTCAGATGTTTCCTCACTTTTTACCCGTAGGAGAAAAAAAAAACATACTCGAAGGGTGAATCTGCTAATGTATGGCATTTATTACGTACTGAGGTTGATTTCAATTCTCACCGTTGATCATGGGTGCTTGTCCACAATGGCCGTAAAAGAAAAGAAAACTCAGGCACATGTTCTCTCTCTTAAGACAAAAAGAAATTGGCAGTGTAATGTATTTTTTACAGCCTCTCTTGGCTCATGTAGCACGACAGGTCGATATTGTCAGCCAAAGAACCGGGACGCGGACAGAGGACGTGACGTACAAAATTTGCCTTGATTTCGTAACAACATGGACATCCGGTCTCACGAAATGCGATGACTCGTATTTTCTATTGCCAAGAAAAAGAAGAAAAGGACCCTCGACCAGGAACATGGGCTGCGAAAAAAAACAAACAAACAAAAAAACGTACCTTTTATATAAAATAAGGGACCCTCGACTAAATACCCTCGACCTCGACATAGGACCCTCGACCCTCGATGGCTCGACCGTAAGTTAGACTCACCAAAATCTACTTCACTTTTACAACATCCCTACTCGGGTTCAGCACCCCACTGAACACTGATTTTCAATTAAAGTACTCAGACAATAAACAATAGCGTTTGCGTCAGGTGAAATTGATTACAAGAAACTTACTAACTGGAGATCAAAAGCAAGCAGCACTACTCCCCCTCACCCGGCCTAGCCCAAATTCTTCGTTTATTCTATATTCAGGCGTCAGGGCCCGCTCACTCAGATTATTCTTGTGGAAGGGAGGGCCCTGGGAATGAGGCAATGAAACAGTGGGAGGGAAGGGGCACAGACTCTATGAAATACACTTTAAAATAACAGTTAGCGTGCATACCCCTTCGATTTAGAGGTACGTGTTTTCATAGCCGGGTGTAAAAAATTTGCCTTGATGTAAAAAATCTGACCCGGCTATGAAAACACGTACCTCTAAGTCCAGGATGTATGCACGCTAACTGTTATTTTAAAGTGTTTCATATTTCCATTATGCCTTATTTTTGGGTTGCAGCGACATAAAATGAAACAGCAACGCGCCCAAGCGAAGCAGTTGCTTTAAGCTGAGGTCTCAAGAATAACGTTACGCTGCTACACTCGTTTGTAGACTTCATACAGTTTCGTCGTGCGGGCCTCAAATCTAGTCCATAAGGGCCGTAGGTTTGGCCTCTGCCATTTGCCCTTTGAGTTAAGAGTGTCCTCTGTGGTCGACTGTTCAGGAATCATCTTAAAGGGTGCACCGATCTCCAAGAAACAATGAACGAAGGTTAATTGCTTTGCTAATTTTGAGATAATCGGTTCCTCGTTCCAATCAACAATATGTTTTAGGCAGCAAAAAGGAGGAACTTAGACTCGAGGTAAGTGACCGGTCCATTTGGTCAGAGCTTATACCTCTTTCTGTGGCATGGAATGGCTGGGTGTATTACCACTCCCCGCTGGATAGGAGGCTAGTCCATTCCAGGTTACTCCCAAGCATTTCTTCAGTTTTCCCTGGCACTCCACCGGTTTCCATTCGTATTCTCAGGTGAGTAGAGCAATGGACTGTGCTGATAGAGTAAATTTAATAGAAAGAAGTTTTTCGTCTTGTCACGAGAGTGGGACAAAGAGAATATTGTGAGTCCCCGTACGAGGAATCTTGCCGAATCAGACCTTTGGATTCCGCGCCCCAATGCTGAGTGAATTGTCTTGCCCAAGAACAAGAAAACAAGGACCTGGCCAGATTTCGATCCCAGATACCCGGATCACTGTGTCTCTTACAAGGGATGCCGCTGAACATATCTCATTTTAAGTCTAATTAGTGTGTCTCAACCGATTCTTAGAGTTTTGTGTCGTGCTCGTTCTGACCTGGCATCGTTTCAGCAACTTGTTTGCAATTGGTTGTTCTTTTTCTGTTGGTTTCAGGTGATACATTCTCATCTGGGCACTCCAAATCCTCGTTTTCACGTACATTAGTCTTTTCTCTTGTGCCACACGAAAGACAAAACGACAGATGTCTGATGTATTCTCTGCGAAACCGTTCAGTCAACAGTCCATAAACAATCGGATTCACACAAGCGTGAAGGCAGTCGAGAATAGTTGCAAATTTGGAAATGATGTCTATCGTGGCCTGGTCTTCTTCATCTCCAAATTCCCACAGCAGATAACCAATTTGACCCGGCAGTAAACAGACGGTGAACAGAATCACGATCAATGCCAGTGTTTTGATAACTTGTATGTTCTCCTTCTTTCTCCTCTGAACCCGCTTGCTCTTAACAGAGGAAAGGGAGCTTTGCGGAGCAGCTGAGCGCCACAAGTAGATACCGATTTTAAGGTAAGCTGCCGCGATTATCTGAAGCGGGATAACGAACTGAAGAATGAAAAGAGCCAATGTGTAGGCTTTGCGATGATTCAGTGTCGGCCATTTCTCGTCACATTTCCCGTTTGTCGACTTTGTCACAATGGA